ATATATATATATATATATGAACTTTATTCTGAAGGTAAAATATACATATATATATATTATAAGGCAATGTCTAACTAGATTTATTGCATATTGTTCAGGTTTAAGTGATTTTAGAATTATAGTCTGCATAATTTCTTTAATAATAATAGACCATGGCTTCCTTTCATTTGATAAAGTTACTGAATGTATTTCAGTAATTAATATTCTCAAGCAGGATTGACTTGCTGAGACCTATTACTTTGTTTAAAAATCTTTTTATTTTTATAAACATGGACTCTCTGATAGTAGAATATCAAATGACTGAAATATTGTTTAGTAAAAATAGGACAGTAAGATAGGTGAACTTTATTCTGAAGGTAAAATTGTTCAACCTCTTTCAAATTAAGTTTAAAATGAACATTTTAAGACACTAATATCAGAATAAAAGGAAAACCTAGTAAAAAATTGGGCTTTTCTATTTATTTAATCTTATCCACACTGAGTAAATATGAAAATCAGAATGATAAACCTGACTATTCAGAGCATTTTTAAAAAGCAATACCCATTAAAGCTAATAAAAGTGATGACATCTTTATGCATTTTTATTAAAATGGTTTTAGGATTTTATCGGTCAACTTTGCTATCAATGTATAATTTTATGTACTTTGAGAATATAGGAATAGTGATTGACCTATGACAGAGGGAATTAAATACTGTTATTTAAATAAACCCGCACTGTGAGATGTTCAGAAGATTTTTATTTTTTCCTGGTTGAGGCTATTGCTTTTCAAGAAAGTATTCTGATTACCATTCTAAGGAAATGTTAAAATCCTGGCTCTCTGCATCAAAAGTGTAGTTTAAATATGTCAAAAAGTGCAAATTTGGCTGTATGGTATTGCAGTAATTCTTTATTTGTTCTCACAATGCACTCTTATTTAAATTTGTCACAGTAAAGATGAATCTAACTAGGATACATAATCATATTGCCATATGATCACTTCAAGTTGGAGACAAAAACAAATAAAAATATTTCTCCAACATAAATGACTCTAATTTCTAATTAAGAATAGAACAATAAATAGATGAATAATATACAATTATAATAAAATGCAGCGGTAGAAAAAGATATGTTCTTATATTTTCACTATTAGAAGAGTTTTCTTTTCTATTAGGCATAAAATTAATCTTATTATCTGTTTGTAATAAGATTGCGGGTGCTTTTTTTCAACTCCTGTTATTTAAAATTATAAAAAGGTATAAAAAGGAAATTTTATTCCACAGCAGTTGTCTTGCTTCTGTGGCCATTGATACAATTACAAGATTATAATAATATGCTTTTTTGGTAATACTGGTTATCCTGAAACTGTGTACTGATTACATTTGTGGATAGCTAAACCACCTAATCTGTCTCAAAACATAAGCAGTCTTTTTTCAATTGTTAGTTTCCTTTTTTGTGGTTGAAATGCTGTGCTATATGCAGATTAAATGTCTTCATATTTAGAATGGGAATGTTTGAGGTTCCATAGTCAGAGTTAAAAACATGTATTTCTGCGTAATACTCAGGCAATGTATTAACTACAATGGTATTTTAATATTTATCATGATCATTTCCTGAAAATATTGGCATATTTGTAAGAAAAGAATCTGTGCAATATATTTTAATGTTTATGTTGAAAAAAATTCAGGTATAATTACAAAATAAGGCAGAGTGCAATTATTGTTTATATTTCTTATTTTTTGCCAGTATTAATATAGATCAGTTATTATTCCTTTTTTGTCACAGTTGTTACTCCTTTTTTTGTTAGTAAAATAGTTTGCCTATAAAATGCAAGAATAAATATTAATATAAACAGATGTGATCGAGGTACCGGTTCA